CACCTTCTCATCGGAATCGAAGGAGATTACATCGGAAACAGCGTCAGCATGAATCTTCCAGTAAAGCCAATAGACAGCTGGTCAAAAGGAATCTGCCATCGTCTTCTAGTTAAATGGTCCTTTGAATCTCTTCACCCAACACTTTCACTCGAAATGGAAGTAAGCTCAACAATTAGGAAATAAAAGATTCCTCGAACCTCTACTTTTCTTCGCAAAAGTTCATTTTACAAATAAAAAAAATTTATATAAGTCAAATTTATTATAAAAATCTAAAGTAAAAATTCTATTTTTATCACGTTATTTCATAGTATATAGTCAGCTAGACATTCTTTAGGAATAACGGAGTTCCAAAATTTATCACGGAAATAACATCTAAACTGTAAGACTAAGTTAAGCAGGTAGGTCATATTTTCCCTCGATATTTCGCTAATATTGATACTCATAATCGATTTTTAAGGTATTTATCTAATGGGTCGTTAAGTAAAAATGGGGAATCGGGCTTTCAACTACAGTTATAAATAAGTCATAAGATATAAAATTGGTCATTTCATTCAGCGAAAAGTTAAAAGACGAGCCAACTTAGAATTTGTCAATGACAAAGCACCGCTGAAACCCTTAGATAAAAAACAAAGTATACCCTTTGGTCATTACCAATAGTATGACCGGGAAATAAAATATAATAAAGCTAAATGTATGCGATAGATCGGCTGAGGAAATGTATGCATGATATTAAATAAGTTTCTTGATTTGGATTCTAGATACATTAAGCCAACTTGAATATTTTGGTATTCATTTTAATGTTACAGTTAATGGTGCTCAGGAATATAGTTAACAAACTAGGAGACAGGTAAAGTTAAAAAATAACTTCGCATTTTACCCTTGAATGATAGAAAACACTTTTATACTAAAGTTAAACAAGTCTGGGATGAATTATTTCTCCCTGTAAACTAGTGCATATGTATTTATGCATCTATAAACATCTCTTAATATATATTAAGACGCATTCGTTCACGCTGGTTAAACGTACTGGTCAAACCCGCGCTAATTAGTTTAATGGATGACTTCTGCCGTCGGTATTCATACGCTGCTCTAACTGCAGACCGAGATTTCGCTCATTTATTTAGATCAGACTCTGGATTGGATACCATCGCAACGCATGCTGGACATGCAGCGCTGGAAACACCTGGGATTGGGTATCCCGTTGTCGCACCTATAGCCCTCTCGAGTACCTTTCAACAATTTTCTCCTGGAGTTGCTAAGGTAACATTGTTTTTAATATTTTTTAAGTATGATTACTCGCGTTCAAATAATTACACTCGTGAGTGCCTGGAAAAGTGCATTGCTGCTCTTGAAGGAGCGACTTCATGCTCCACTTTTGCATCTGGTCTAGCTGCCTTAGGCGCTCTGATGCAACTTCTAAACAGTGGTGATCGCATTGTATGTTCTGATGACCTTTATGGAGGTAAAGATCGTTATGGCTACATCTGACTTTTCGTGTTCAATCATGCGTGTGCTTACCTCTAATATGAAAATCTGTCAAGGGCTAAGACTGCTTTTTTAATTATAACTTTTTAGATCACATATTAATGTATAAATTATATAAGGCTTATGCTGTTGCTGAATTGATGGATATCTTAGTTATTTTTGGTTTACCTATCAATTTAGTGTCGGCATAAAAATCTTGTGACGTTCTTTCCTTATTGATCGCTAGGCTTGCTTATTAATAGGCTGGCATACGTCCTGTATCGTATTTCTAGAGGAATTTTAATTATTAGTCATTATATAAAAAATCTTACTGTGAATGTTGTCCTTAACTTTTTTTTGGTGCATTATCTTATTAGGGTGATTTATATTTTGCTGTACTGTGAAAAATGTAATTTAGCTTGTAGGTTTGTAAAAGCTTCCTTAAACAAATCA